CCTCATAATTGGCAACTAATTCTGCAGTTTTGGTGTGTCCCAGCAAAACAAACAAAAGACAAATCTGTTTTCCAACACAAATTTAATTTAAATACACAGAAATATACGTATGCATATATACGTGAAACTCACAGAACATCCACCGCCATGACACACAAATACAGTTTCTGTGGCTTTGATGCTGCTAACATATTGACTTGGGAATAGCTGCCATTTTGTTGTAAAAGGATGACGTATTTTAAACTACCAACTACAAAATCTAAAGGAAGGAAAGAGAAAAGAGAAACATGTGCAAAGTGCCACAAGCCCCATTAAGTTCAGGTTGGCTCTTACAGGTCCATATGATGACTTCAGGCTTGTTTGCCACACCTCACATCACATGACATTCTCTGGGTGCTGAGTTGCAAGAGCTTCAACTGATGCATAGCTGTGTTACTATTTACAAGGGACAGAGTCCAGAAAATGGGGACAGTTGGAGTGTATGTTGCTTGTGCCCTTCTGCATCAAGAGGCAGAATGTAGAAGTTTTTGCAATAAACAAATGACTAACAGGAGTGGCTAAGAGCCAATATTTGGGTGTAACAATCCAGTGTATGACTTAAGTTTTACAAGGGGAGCTAATGGGGACCCATTTGCCTAGAAACGCTGTAGTATCTGGAGACAGTTAAACATTTGTATAATAACTGCGATGTTAGACAGGGTCAAATTAGACATTACAGTTAGTACCTCATTATGAAAAATGAAAAGACATTAGTGTTTCAAGACTACTAGCCTTTCCTGGTTGTTTTAAAATATTGTTTATTTTCTATAATTATAACATACACATAAACATATAATACATAAACTAAAATACAATTTAACTGTGCTCCCCCCCCCCCATAAATGGGACCTCTTGCTGTAATCTTCTTCCTCCACCTGTATTCTTCTTCTGCTTTTGTTTCTATTGTCCTCTTCTTCAGAACTGCATTGATTCTTGATTTGGAGCTTTCCCTTTTCCTCTTATTAACACATATTCCAAAATTCTGCCCCATATTTCATAACAAATATTTTTTTAACTGTCCTGTCTTAACTTTTAAACTACACGTTAATTTATCATTTATAGCCATATTCCATATTTCCTTATACCAATCTTCAATTTGAAATTCAGATTTTAATTTCCATTGCCTAGCTGTTATCAATCTAGCCGCTGTTAATAAATTGGTTATTAATTCTTTAGTTATCTTATCGTATTCCACATTCTCAAATATTGATAAGAAAGCAATCTCAGGATTAAATTCTATATCTTCTTCACATATGTAGCGTAATTCTTTAAAAATTTGTTTCCGAAATCTTTGTACGTTTTCACATTCCCACCACATGTGAGCCTTTGAGCCTTTCCTGATTTTAACTCCCTGCGACCAATTGCAAAGCAAAGCAAACTTTGGGTGTGTGTGTGTGTGTTCATAAGTAAGCTATGTGATGAAAATCAGGCACTTATAAGATTTAAGGAATTTCTTCTTTTAGGGGAGTTGAGTTTTGAGCAGTGAAGAGATTTCTTGGAGCAGCTCTAGCCATTGGTTAGTATGGTCGATGAAAATCAGGCACTTCTAACATTTAAGGATTTTCTTCTTTTAGGGGAGTTGAGTTTTGAGCAGTGAAGAGATTTCTTGGAGCAGCCATTCTAGCCATTGGTTAGTATGGTCCAGAACTCCTAAAGCTGCTGCCATAGAATCATCACCTTAGGCTTTTTAAAACAGCTGCATGGCAGTCAGAAAATCATCAGGTGTGGCATCTTTGTTGTTGAAGATGAAGCATCAGTGGTTGCTTTTCCATCTTTAAAACAGTTAAACGGTGTCAGTATTAAAAAATATAGCCAAGAACGATGCCAATATTAAACATACGGCCACCCCTAAAAACACACTTAAGTGATGGGGTGGACAACTAGAGAGAAGGAATCATAAATGAAACTGGAAAATGAGCAGTCTCTTCTGACCTCACTGGATTTCATTTCCCAGCATTTTTCACCATTGGCTATGCTGGCTTATGGGGGTTTGCAGGCCAAGGAAAGCTGGAGAACTATGCATTGCCCACCTCAGATTTAAGCAGTAGTTTCTCATCCCTCAACCAGTAAGGTATTGTGCAAAGATCTGACCTATTAAACAGAGTCAATATTGTCTCACATGAATCGGTAAGGTATCGTGCAGCGACTAAGATCTGACCTATCAAACAGAGTCAATATTGTCTCACATGAATCATCCTTAGTGCTCAAACTGGATGGAAATGAAAATAATTAGCATACCCATGGCTAAGACATGTTGGCAGATCTTAGAGAGAGATCTGCCAACATGGAGACTTGCTTCTCTCCAATACTGTTTGAGGTAGGTAGGTGGATAGATAGGTAGGTAGGTAGGTAGGCTGTCCAAAGCAAGGAAATGCTGGCTCAGTTTCAGAAATTATAGACACTTGACTGGGCAGAGAAGAAAGCGGAATCCCGCCTTTAATAAACAAAGCAACCTTGCTAGGTGAAAGGAAGCAGGGACTCTTGGAAGGGAGCTGGGCCAAGTCATTTTTATTTTCTTCACTCCTTGGGCAGAAGCACACAGCCCTATACTGTACACAATCTGGGATAATGACCCATTCCTATTTCACTACTCATTGGTGCGTTGCAATGTGTATGTATGTGGGTGTGGAAACTCTGAACCACTAGAAGTTTTGTACTAGGAAGCCCATAGTCCATTATTATTGGTTGTGCTGGGTGTGGTTGATGGGAGTTGTAGTCCCATATGTTTTTGAGATGCAAAGGCTATCCACCCATTTTAACACATCCGCTTTCCCACCAGTAATTATGTGATAAAAATTCCCCCTCTCCCCCTCTCTATTACATACTTTTGAGTTGCCAACTTTTTCCATGAGCCATTGCTGCTCTGTATTTAACCTGTGGCTTGATAGTGATGACATGATAGTAAATGTCATCAGGAGCTAATTGCAAAAAAAACACACAAAAAAACAAAAAACGAAAAAACCATTCCCCCTCTATTACAGACACAGCTGGAAGAGATACTGTGGTTAAAAATTTGACAACTTTCACTAGTTTCTGGAATCAGGCTTGTTGGCAAAGAGTTTTTCTTTTCCTTCCTTCCTTCCTTCCTTCCTTCCTTCCTTCCTTCCTTCCTTCCTTCCTTCCTTCCTAGTCCATTTACAACAAGGTTGGGAAATGCATGGCCTTCTAGATCACTAAGCTAAAATTTCCATTTGCCCTAGGCAGTATATTCAGTATAAAAGATTGATTGGCGCTTCAGCCCAACAGCATCTGGAAGGCCATATCTTCCCCAGCTCTGCTTCATTAATGGAAGGACATCCAGCGCATCTCAACAATTTAATTGTAGGGCACCAGGGAAAAAAAGAGGCTGTCCATGGTGCTAAAGCGCAATCGTATACCCTTTAGCTGTCCATGTTACAGATCAGAATCTACACTTCCACCATTACATGCACTCAAAGGAGCATGAGAGGAAATGTACCTGTTTATTGCTCTTGAACTGGTATAGTTGTAACTGTCCAATGGGCTTCATCAAGAAGAGGCAATGCCAGGATTCAGAAATGGGGTGTAAGGCAGAGATAATTGATTATAGCTATCATAGATTCTCTGGTGGGTCTAAAAAAGCTATGTGGTGTAAAGCAATGCTTTGACTAGGATGCATGAAAGATCTAGGTTTCAGCCCATTCACTCTTGAAGCTGACTGGGTGCCACTGGGCCAACCGCTATCTCTCAACTTAACCTATGGCACAAAGTTGCTGGGATTATCTACACAGGAGGCCCTTGTCTTGATCCCGTTGCCAGTGTAGGCACGGTTGATGGAGACACAAGAGAGGCCCTTCTCTGGCTGCTTCCAGACTATGGAACCCTTGGGAGATTAGGCTGGCCCTCTCCCTTTTATCCTTCCTCCAACAACTGAAGACCCATTTTTCCCAGCACGTGAGGAGCTAGTTTTATGGGAATGCCTAAGGCACAGGTCACAGTGGTCCTTGGATGTCAAGTTATGCAAATGTTGCATGCAAGAGAGTCAGAGACACTGGACAAAGCATTTTCCCCCTCTCTGATCCAGCAATGTCAGTTTTTATCCAACTAGAAATCTGCCAGTAATATTGTTTAGGAAACATCTCTCGAGGTAAAGCAGCAAAGAAGGAACTTTTTTTGAAAAAAAGATACCAGGAAGGGAAATACTCCTTGAAATCTGAAGTTCTGCTGCCATTGTTTTGGGCAACTTGCCAGATTTTTCACAAATACAGAAACTATTTCTAGAAGTCCGTGTTTTAGAGTGGTCTTGCACAGTTTGGTTCTCTTCAGAGGTATTTCACACACCCCATCATCTCCAGGGCAGCATGACTGTGAGAGTTGAAGACCCGAGGCTGAAAAGTTGCTTTAATCACAAACGATGCATTCGTTCGTTCGTTTAGTCATTTAGTCGTGTCCGACTCTTCGTGACCCCATGGACCAGAGCACGCCAGGCCCTCCTATCTTCCACTGCCTCCCGGAGTTCTGTCAATTTCATGTTGGTTGCTTCGCAGACACTGTCCAGCCATCTCATCCTCGGTCGTCCCCTTCTCCTCTTGCCCTCGCACTTTCCTAACATCAAGGTCTTTTCCAGGGAGTCCTCTCTTCTCATGAGATGGCCAAAGTATTGGAGCCTCAGCTTCAGGATCTGTCCTTCCAGTGATCACTCAAGGTTGATTTCCTTTAGAATGGATAGGTTTGTTCTCCTTGCAGTCCTGGGGACTCCTTTCTTTATGGTCCAGCTGCACAGTTGAAAGGCATCAATTCTTCGGCGGTCAGCTTTCTTTATGGTCCAGCTCTCACTTCCATACATCACTACAGGAAAAAACATAGCTTTGACTATTCGGACTTTTGCTGGCAAGGTGATATCTCTGCTTATTAAGATGCTGTCAAGGTTTGTCATCGCTTGTCTGCCTCCAAATATTTGCAGACACCAATGATTTTTCTATTCTTCTTTTTAACCAGGTTGTGCAGTGACTCTCAGATAAGGCTGCTCGGCACCATGAGTGACTCTGGAAGGTGAGATTGAGTACTATATTATAAATCCATAACAAGCCTCTCAAGTGCCTTAGGTCACAGAAGCAGGACTTCCCTCTACCACAAAAACATAGCAGTCCATATAGTACAAGGGAGGGTCTCCATGCTTAAAGTTGCATCTAAGGTTAAAGGTTCTTTACCAATGCTTCACAAGAGAGCTGAGCAAGCTCCTTGCAGTTTTATAGACACTCCTGGTCCACTCTCTCCCTGCTTATCACGAAGGCCCTGGTTTTTAGTGCATATGGTTTGCATGGAAAAGGTCTTTTATTCAATCACACCAGGCATGACTGGGAAAGATTTCGGAACAAATGAGACCTGGAGTACTGACAGCCAATGTTGAGGATCATGAACTATATGGGGCAGTGATTGGCTTGGTATGAAACTCTTTCATATGTTCCTGTGCCAGGATGTTCTCCTATCAGGACTTACATCACACAAGGGCCATTGGGGGGACTATCTGAAGTTCCTTTTTGTGATTGCAACTCTCAGAATATCCCAGCCAGCCTGTTCACTAGCAATATTGGCTGAAGGCCTCTGAGAGCTGTGGTCCAAAAAAGTAACTTTTCCACCTTCTAGCAGCAGCTGAATATTGCTCTGCAACCAGCTGAGTGGGCCCGCAGATTGCTATAACAATTCTCTGAATAGGAACCACATTGTGTTGATATGACTATGCAATCATGCTTAGGGACTAAATGAGCATTAAGCAGCATTAATTAGTACTACTGTTCCCTTAAAGAACTGTGAGTCTTTGCGAATTATTGCACAAGCTGAGGGTAAGATAATACTGCCTCCAAGATTTTCAAAGGAGCCGGAGGGCCTCATAAGCACTAAGAAGGAAGGGTAGAGTTCTGGGAAATGGACTTCGAGGGTTATTTTTCTTGTTGTTGTTGGCTGACTTGCCCATTTTGTCTCACAGCCTAGTTGGTGATGTTCCTAAACCCAGTGCCAGAGCCATATATGGTGAGTGTGGGATTATGGGAATAGGACAAGAAGATTCCTTACAACTTGAGTGGTGGTAACTCAAAACTGAACAGAAACCCTAGTTTGTCCTGCAAATCTGCCATCTCCTATCCTATAAATCACTCCACCCTTTCCATCCTTTGCTGTTGCTTCTTATGCTCAGAATTGTTCCTTTCTTCCACCCCCTAAAAAATAACATGAGCTATCCCTTTCTCTCCTCCTCAGGTTTCCTCATGAAACCCTCTACTGTGGTTAATTCCTTATACCTCTGACTAATAATTGCCCATAGTTCTAATAATTGCCCAATCTAATAATTGCCCAATCATCCTTTGATTTACCTTCTCTTTCCCTCACTCCCCTTTCTGTGATGAATTCTAAACCCACAAATTGTAAACTCTTTGACAGGAGAAATCCATCTTTTTTAAAACTTGTAAAACCTGGAAATTATATGGTACAGTATATGCATGTATGTGCTATGGGTCATTAAATCACTTCTGGTTTATGGTGACGCTAATAAGAGTTTTTGAGGTGTGTCAGATGCTCAAGGAAGGATTTGCCATCACTACTTCCCCTCCCCATGGACTTTCCATGACCAGTGGGGATGAGAGGAATATGAATTCAGATCTCCTGAATTCTAATCCCTGCACTCTATCCACAACACTACACTACACTGGCTGTCATAGGTATATTTGTAGAGCTGTGTGGAATAATATTAACATTCTTTGCCAAATTAAGTTGGCAATTTCAGAATGGCTTCTGCAAGACTAGTGATTCTGAGATGCTTTCTTCTGTTTGATTCTTAGTGTATGTTATGAAGTTAAAAGTGTTTTTCTTTTAAGCAGCCAACGACTGAGGGCCTGGTCACACAGCCAAAAAAACCCTGAGATTTGACCTGTGTTAAAATCCGTGTTGGGTGTCACAGTCACACAATGAATTCCAAAGTGTATATTTTTCTCTGACTTGTATTTATTTTTTAAGGAAGCGAGTTAAAACAAGAGGTCTTTTTATTTTAGGACACTGTCTTCTTAACTGACTTATGCAATTGTGCATCTTAAAGTCAGTTTTAAAAAGAATCATTCAATTACTCATTAGGAATGCAGAAAAAATCAAAAACCACATGACTTGAGTCAGCTAAAATTAAAACCCTACATATTGTGGGTGTTTTGAGAAATGTAGATAGGTTGTGAGTTGTTCAAGCAAGAATCTCTGACTTCCATCATCCACCTCTGTTCCTCTGCCACAGATTAAAGCCAATAAACCTATTGATCTTTCAGAATCACATACTCTTCTCTCACACACGAAACCCTGCAAGTGTTGGTTTGGTAAATTTAAAAGACAGTGATGTTCAGGGTGCTGAGCCTGAGGGAGCAGTCAGTGGAAAGGAGAAGGGTGTGTGTGAGTAACCCTCACAAGCTAAACTGGTTTCCCCAGGGAGAGGCAATAATTACATTTCTCTGCCTGCCTTGGGCTAGGCAATTACTCGAAAGAAAGGAAGAAAGAAAGATCTTTCTCAGGATGAATAAGTTCCTGGATGATGATATGAAGTCCTTTAAACTAAATAATTATGAATCAGAATGTTTGTATATGTCATTATATCTTATTATATTATGGCCCAAGATGCCCCACAGGATCTCTCCTCAGCATCATAATTCTTGAGTCTAATTTCTGTAAGTAGAGATAATAGCAGGAATTGGGTCTGAAAAGTGGGTAGAACGCAGTCCTGGTTCTCCTGTTTGCTCTAGAAGTTAGATAAATGTTTGTGCTGAGGGGAACGGGTGAACATAGAGTAAATAAATGTATACAGGAACCTGCTAGGGGAGATAATAGATTGGGTCTGAAAAGTGGGTAGAACGCAGTCCTGGTTCTCCTGTTTGCTCTAGAAGTTAGATAAATGTTTGTGCTGAGGGGAACGGGTGAACATAGAGTAAATAAATGTAATGTATAACCTGCTAGGGAACTAACGCTATGAATGCTTAGCACCTGTTGAATCTTCATTTACCACAAACTAAGGAAGCCTATTCTGAGGTAAAACTCTGAAGGTTCTTACCACTCAGATATGCGGTGCACAAATCTAACACTGTACTATAGTGGCCAGAATCCTATTGGTATTCATGTAAAGTTGGTTAAATACAGCTAATTGACAAGGCACCTGGACTCACCATGGTTAGGTATTCAGGCTTGTGGCAAGACACATGACCAAGCTGCACTCCAGGACTTAACCAGTTAGCTGCAATTAGCTGTGGCAAGTTACACACACCTTACATGAACAACAAGAAGATTCTGTCCAATAGGTGTACATGCATATGTATCTTTTCGTCGTGTTTCTGTTCTTCTTAGTTGCAGTTTGTCCTTGACATGCTGATTAAATGAAAATTCTTTAACGTGGTTCTCTATGAATCCACACTGATGGGTTAAACAGCGCCTGCGCTGGTTCCTCTCGGAATTTTCCAGAGCTATGAGGGAAAAGATACAATGTTTGAGTTGCCCTGCACTGCGCAAGTGCAGCCCGCCAAAAATCCCCAGTTCCATTTATCCGCCCGCGGAGTTGGAACCTCTCGGTTAGAGCTCTTGAGATTTTACTCTCCTTTCGCTATTTTCGGATTTTTTGGACTTGACCTGGCTTGCCTATCGTCTATCCGCATCTCCGTTGCCCTGAATTCGGACCGGCTGACCTTC